TTAAAAAAATTTAAGAATAAAAATTGGACAATAGAGACTCGGGCAATGACCTAATAGTAATGGATAATGCTGTAACTACTCTTATCGATAAATGCAAATAAGGAAAAAAGGAGCTACGTATAGCCGGGCGGCTATACTATTTATTAAAAATAAATTTAAAAAGGCCCCAAGTGCAGCCGAGCGGCTATACACTATATTTGAAAAAAATTAAAAAAACCCAGGTATAGCCGCTCAGAAAAAGACCAACATAGCGTCTAGGCATCTGTTCGGCTATACTGTTTATTAAATAAATAAAAGGGTTATTCGCAGCAATGGTCCCTCAACTATACCCGTAGTTACACTTTGGTCCATCAATTCAATTATTAGTTGCGTGGGTCACTCAACTAGGTTCTATGTTGCACCAGTAGTCCTTCCATCAAACTCTGTTAAATTTTCTGTCAAAAATGAGGGTAAGTTTGGAAATTCATCCACAACCCCTCCCTCTCCTCCACAACCCTCCCTTTCTCTCTCTGAGCGAACTTAAAATTTGCAGCCCCATTGGTGTAGACCAAAAGAAACCCTCTGCACATCCATATCCCCAGCAAACAATAAACTCATGAATATTCATGGTCCCAACCTTTTAAATTGAAACAGTAACCTCCACATAACCACCATTAATCCTGATTCCAACCACCTTCTGGTTACCATAAAACCCAACCACCCTCTTTCTCTCAGTGACTCACTCTCTCACTCGTGAAATACAAGTAAAAACACAGAGCAAGCAAACCCCAACTCGGAAGCTCTAACTCACTGAGTCAGGCATGGCGGTGGATGAAGGACTACTGGTGCATTCCCTCATCGGATTTGGCGCGCGCAAACCAATCGCAATCCTTGTTGTTGCTGATCTCACACTACACAACACAACTCGAAAAGCACAACAACAATAATAATGGACAACAACAGCACCACCACCTTAAAAAATGAAAAATAATAAAAATAATACAGACTCAGCTGATCGATTTCATCGCTGTGTCCACCAACAACATTACAGGACAGATGCTTCGAATCAGTCTCCTCAGATTTCTCTCTCTTCCTTCTCGCTCCTCTTATTCTTCTTCTTCCCTTTTCTTCAGTCCCATTTTTGCCCATTCCCATTCCCAAATCATGGCCACCTCTGCTTTAGAAGTATTATTGAAAAATATGTATGTACATGTATAAATATAATATTTAAGACGTTTAATTGAAAAATACATATGTACCGAAGTATAGGCGCGCGGCTATACTATGTATTTAAAAAAACAAAAAAAGAACCCAAATATAGCCCGGCTATACTATTTATGGGGAAAAAAAAGAGAGGAGCCAAGTATAGCCGTGCGGCTATACAATTTATTTAAGATTCCAAAAAGGCCCCAAGTATAGCCGCGCGTCTATAATATTTCAATACATTATATTTCAACAATATAGCCGCGTGGCTATACTATTTATTAAAATAAAACATAAAAAAAAGGACCCAAGTATAGTGGCGCGGCTATACTCTTTATTTTAAAAAATTTAAAACACCCAAGTATAGCCGCACAACTATACTATTTATTATTAAAAAAAAAATTGACCCACCTAGCGCCTAGGCGCCCACCTAGAGCTATGTGGCCTTTTTTCGGAAAAAAAAACCACAGTATAGCCATTTGGTTATACTATTTATTAGAAAAATTAAAAAGATCCATTATAGCCAACCCGCTATAATATTTATGGAGCATAGCCACGAGGCTATACTATTTATTTTAAAAAATTGATTCATAAAAAAGGACACGCCTAGCAATTAGGCACCCGAATCGTCTCTTTTCCCTAGTTTAATTCCAAGGCCTCTTCCCATCTTCAAATCTATCTTTTTCTATATTAGTTTGTGTGTATTTTTGAAAATTTTGTATAAAAATGTGTATTAAACATGAAAAATACGTACATAGGGGTTTGCTTTTTACAAAAAAGGCCTCAAGTATAGTTGCATGTACTCTTTATTTTTTAAAAAACAAAAAAAAACAAACAAACCCAAATATAGCCGCGCGGTTATGAAGAAGCAAATGGGAAGTGTTTTTTCCCATAATTGTAGTGATTTTCTGGAGAAGCACGTGGGAAGTGCTTCTTTCTAGAAGTGATTCTGGCCTATCCAGAATCACTCCCGAATGAAACAAGTATTTTTAAGCCATTCAACAAGTATTTGACCTTCTAAAAAAATTTTAAGTTTTCGCAAATAAGTTTGGTATTATATAGTATAATATGAATATAGTACTCATATTATATATTAAAGTATTCGCAAATAAATTGAATATGATATGAATATTATATATTATATGCACATACGTAAGTATTTTTTTAATAATACTCATATAATTATGTCGCAGTCATTTGGAATCATTCTTCCTCCATAAAAATTTGCTAACAAGAATATGTTTTTTTTTGCATACCACAAAGACAACAAAAAGTTCTACGTCGGATCATAGTGAACTTTTAAGTATTAAAAAATTTTAAGTACCAAAAGGAGACAATAGAGACTTGCGTAATGACCTAATAGTAATAGATAATGCTATAAACTACTCTTATTGATAAACAAAAATCATGAAGAAAAAAAATTATTTGGAAAAAAAAGTACCTTACTACAGCCGACCGGCTATACTCTTTAAATATACTATATTTATAAAGTATAGCCACGTGGCTATACTATTTATGAAAAAAAAAGGAGCCAAGTATAGCAATGTAGCTATACTCTTTATCTATAAATAAATAAAAACCAAAGCATAGTGGCGCGTCTATACTATTTATTAAAAAAAAAAACGCTATATAGCGGGTACTATTTATTAAAAAAAAAAAACGCTATATAGCAGGGCAACTATATTATTTATTAAAAAGGGTTTAGGGTTCAAGGTACTATTTATTTTAAAAAAATTAATTTTAAAAGGACCCATTATAGCCGACAATTTAGTGCAAGAATTCAAGATAATTTAGAGTATCATTATCACTCACAGCCAGTGTTTTCAAAGGCATGCGTAGGCGAGCGTGTCGGAGCTAGGCGGCTGTAATTCGCCTTAGGTGCATGCAGCTCAGTTTGGCGGATGTCATGAAAGGCGTACGCCTTGAAGTAGAGGCGGTCTGAGGGGTCGCCAAATGCAGATGCACTGTGAAACGCGCAAGCCTTGGGAGGAAGACATAGTTCCTTTATTTGAAAAATCTGATTCCAGACGACGTCGTTTCCACGGGCTGTGTTGTTTTGTTTCCCTTTAGTTAAGCTGTGCATTTCAATTTTAAGTTTTAACATTAGACAACACCGTTTTGTTCAAAAGAAACCAGTTTACCCCTTTATTCCTTTTCTCTCCCAAAAGCCAAAGTTCCTAAACAGCCTTCCAACTTCCACCATCAGTTCAGTCCACCTCCATAATCTACTCTTTTATCTATTCGAACTAGGTAGAAAGTCAACCAAAAGGATATATGGCAAAGAACTGAGCAATAGTAAGAAAAGTTTTGAAAAAACAAGTTTGATGGTTAATTTATATTCTAGAGTGGCATTTAATACATTAAATTAGTTGTTTTATATTTTTCTAATTATAATAATTCAATACACGAAAGGCTTACATTATAATAATTCAATACACGAAAGGCTTACGCTTCAATGCTTTAAGTCTTACGTCTCGCCTCATGAGGCATAAAATGCCTCACCTTAACGTGTCGCATTTCAAAACATTGCTCATAGCAGAGAGGGAGAAAATAGGATCCGGAGCCTCTGCATTTAGAGCTGGTGCATTTACCTTCATTTCGCAAAATCTAGAGTGTTGTAATAATCTAACCCCTAGAACATGACACATCATCAAAAAAATTTCTTCTTTTCTAAATAGACGTTAAGTTTAGAGCGTGTTTCTTGTCTTTTTTTTTTTTCTTCTTCCGTGTTAAATGAATATTCAAATCCAAATGAAATGGAAAAACTCCAAGATTCTTGAACAGGTAATTTCTTTGAAGTAAAAATAAAGACACATCCATTGCAATTTGTGCCTCACCTTAACGTGTCGCCTTTCAAAACATTGCTCATAGCAGAGAGGGAGAAAATAGGATCCGGAGCCTCTGCATTTAGAGCTGGTGCATTTACCCTCATTTCGCAAAATCTAGAGTGTTGTAATAATCTAACCCCTAGAACATGACACATCATCAAGTTTTTTTCTTCTTTTCTAAATAGACGTTAAGTTTAGAGCGTGTTTCTTGTCTCTTTTTTTTTCTTCTTCCGCGTTAAATGAATATTCAAATCCAAATGAAATGGAAAAACTCCAAGATTCTTGAACAGGTAATTTCTTTGAAGTAAAAATAAAGACACATCCATTGCAATTTGATTATGAGGGGAAGGAAAATTACTTTCCCAATCAAAAGAAAAAAAAATTATGAGGGGAAGGAGATGACGACCAAAAAGCCCTCTTGTGAAGCCAGAAAACGCATGAAACACCGAAAAAAAAGCAAAAAACTATTTTAACTTGGTTGGGTTTGAAGATTAATAAAACCATGGACAGTTTTCCATTGAATCCCAAGAGGCATCAGTCAAGCATGGAGAAAGGAGATGACCAAAACGCAAAAAAGAAAAAAAACTTGTTGTAAATTGAGGAGACATGAACGCGAAGAAACAAAAAGAACTCCAACCTAATAGCAATAGTTAACGCATGTTATGTCTGTTTAGAGAAGAAAAAAACTTGATGATGTGTCATATTTTAAGTTGTTAGATTATGGCCTAAATTTAGCGAAATGCAAATAAATGCACCGTCCCTAAATGCAGAAGCTCGGGATCTGACAAAATACACATGCATACAGGACCTTTAGGGCAAAACTATTCATTCGGCTTTCGTTTGATTTCTTTGACATTTACTCCCATTCATGGCAGAGAGAATCCAAGCAGGGCCTGATCCTTCTTTTATAGAGCCCAGATTCAACTATACATGCGTGCGCGTGTGTATAACATAGACAATTCTAAACTTAAATAATTAACCCCACACTGATTTGAGCAAAAGACACTTCAAATAAGCTTAATTATATTTCGACATGGCTCTATTTCTGCGACTGTTTGTCCACAGAAAGCTGTATTTCATCATACATGTTCAAGGATTTAACATTAGCCACCGTTTCCGGCTGCCTATTTCCTAATGTTGGCGCTGGTTCTTCACAAGACAGCTTTGAAAATTGGCCCTGCAAAGTGCTTCCTTTGGCTTCACCTACTTGCACATTCTTGCTTTCCATAACTCTGACTTCCGGTTCCTTGATGCAATAATTTTCCTTGCATTGCTCCACACATTCAAAAATTTCCATTTTGGAGTCAACTTCTGATTGCAGCAGATCCTTGGGATTCATTTGGCTGATATCTGATTCTGTGGTGCCTACTTCGATCTGGCAACCAATTCCCTCTGATGGCTGGACAGTGAGTTCAACTTCAGCTTGTAATTCCTGCAAATTCTTGCCTTCAAGTCCAATCTCTGCATCGACGACCATTCTGTCAGCATGACATTTTCCATCCGATTGCTTTACGGACTCAACATCAGTTTTAGCACCCAATGCAGATTCCATTTGTGTTTCCTTTTCAGCACCAGTGTTGTTACCAGAACATTTTTCATCAGGTTGCTGGACAAACCCAATAATGGTTTCTCTGGATTGAATACCTACATCAGTTGATCCGCCTGTTTCTAATGTTGATGCACCAGCTTTGTTATCACCACCAATGAATAATTTGCTACCTTCCAATTCTTGTAACTTAACACCTTCTACAAATTCATTTTCTGCTTCAACACCAGTTTTGTTTCTGCAAGAAATATCATCCAAATGCTGTCCAAACTTGTCCTTGGGATCTTCTTGAGAACACAAACCTTCTTTTCTCATTTCTCCCGCTCGTAAGGGTAATGTATCACCTGGTCCAGTATCACCCAAGAATATAACTTTCTCAGAGAAAAGAAGAAAGGTCAGCAGATAGAGAAGAGATGAAAAAAATAACTTACCAGAATGCCTATGTGCTATCTGATTTCCATACAAGGGTTTTTTGAGCAAAATTGTTCCAGGAAAAACCATCAAGTTGATCTTGTTCAAACTCCGTTTTTCACTGTCTTCTACAGGTACAAAGCCAAAACCCTCTGTCCATGTCGCCACCAAATCTGGAATGGCAGCTACGACAAGCTTTTCCACCTTAAAAGATAATAGCATCTACAAAGAAAGAGACATATTAACATGAATCAATTAGAAAGACTTAAATGATAAAAATCTGCTGGACCAGTGAATTCCAAAATTGGAGCTCGAACTTGTAAGATATATATTTTACATCTATACCTCTTCAATAGCAGTGACAAGGCGTCGGCACATTCCCTGGCGACGGTATCGACTGCAAGTTGCAATAAGCGGCATCTCTGCAACTGCTGTTCCATGCACCCTGCCAAAAACAAAGGTTAGCAAAATATTCCTATACAAAAAAACGGTTACAGAGGCAACAACCTAGTCATGCTCATATGTTCAAAACTCACAACCGGGAAGCAGTAAGAAACCCTGAAAACTTAGATTTGTAAAGAATTGAGAATCCACATTGAAATTGGTTATGCCTAGTTAAAGACAGGAGAGCTAAGAAGAACAGAAGAAAAGTTCAGACAGTGTGGGTGTGCAGAACCACATACATGTACCAAAATGATAGTGATGCATACACAAAGATGTCAATGCCAAGTATTCAAAACCTCCAACCATCAGGTCTTGGCAATGCAACCTAATTAATGCTCTCCACACAGAAAAAAGAAAAGTTATGAGAAACCATTTGCTACAGCAGGTAATCCTACGATGTGAGCCACCAATTATTTTATATTCGAACAGTATTCTTGAATGCTAAAAGAATCCAAAGAATTAAACTTTTGCAATAGAACAGTTTCTCTTTTTCTATATATTTTTTTTCTGTTGGGTCTGAGCGGCTGGGAAGGGTAATTTTTTACTTAATGGTTGTACCAACTTCCGTTGCATTCCATACATAAAACTCATACCCCTCAATGAATATATTGCAGCCATATGACAAGCCACATGGTGCGCCCCATCATTGAGTAAAAGAGTTCTCTAAGGGAGCATTAGTCATTTCTTCTCATTTATTATTGAAGTCAAGAGCATAATGTCCATGAACCACTGAGGTTTGGGTGAAGTGTATAGAAAAGGAAAATTATCTCACAATTTGGATGTTCGTTTTTTTTAAGGAAAAAAAAACCATGACAATAGATATCAACGACTAAAATAATGAGGATGCAAGCTGTAGATTTAAACAATAGATCAAAATATTGATGTGAAGTCTGATATGAAATTAATATCACAAGAACTGAGCAACTAACAAAAAAACATTACACGAAAACTGGAAAATCGACTCCCTACAAACAGCTTCATTTCAGTGCTACCTGATTGATGCTACAGATATCAACACATCATCTTTCTCCAAGACTGCAGCGTAAAAGCCTTGAAAATTCAAACGTGCAAAATCTGACCTGAAGGTTACATACAAAATTAATAAGCAATTCATAGAAACAAATGACCAATTGAGAAGCCACTTTCACTTAAAAGAAATGACAGCAAATTGGAAGAGGAAGTGATACTTCATATATAACTGTACCCAAAGATACACTTTAAGAGCCCTACTTATCAGAGCAATGAATAGCCATTACTGGCCAAAGAAAAGGATAATCTCATTAAAAGGTGTGAGGTGAACATGTGGAAGGGATAGAAAACACCAACCATAAACAAGACTGAAATTCTGTAGAAATAAAAAAGTATACAAAAGTAACATCAGTAGTTAATGTGCACCCATATCAGTTCAATATTTCTTAAAATAACAAATTTCACAAGCTTCACAAAGAGAGAGAATAACACAGGTCAGAAGATTATCAGGGCTTGACCAAAAAAAAAAAGAGAGAAGATTATCAGGGCTGTTCACTACAGAGATGATCTCACCCCCAATTGTATAAAACATGGGGTATCATGTCTATGCCAGTTCTAGGATCGACCATAGACAAAAAGCATTCCTCCATGATTGTAAGAGCAACAGCTAATCTTGTGTTGCATTCCGCCTTCAGCGCAAACCGTTGAGCAGAATGAACCTTTTGGTCATCATGAATGCATCTAAGAAGTGTCCACGAAAATCCATCAGCAACATGATTAATGTAGCCAACGCGAGATTGAAGACCTGAATAAACCTACACACAGACGTTAAAAAAGTAATCAAATTAATCAAAACCAGAAAGAGTAGTAAATGAAGACTGATAAATTCATGTTGCTCTCTAAAAAATTTACATTGCTCTTTCATAGAACTTATGACAACTTGGAAGAAGAAAATCACAAGGAACAAAGAAACAACTACTAGGGTCATCGCTACAACCAAATAAAGATCATCACTAATGCCTCTTTTAGTTATGAAGGCTAGTTATGCCTCTTTTAGGCTTTAGGACGGCAGGCTTTTATCTTGAAACGTAAAATGAATTACATCGATGACAACTGAAATAGCAAAACGAAAAATAAAATAAAATAGATGATGACAACGATAGAATAATGAAAGAGAAAATTCAAGTAAATTGAGAAGAAGAAAAAATTGCTTATCTTCAACTTTGTGCTTTGCATGGAATAAGAGAAAATTCAAATTTATCATAAGTAAAACTAATGAAATTGAAGGGAGAAACTATAAGGCAGGGCCTAACACGATCATTTGAACCATAAAAGAACTAGAAAGAGTGATAGGGAACCAACTGAAAATAAATAATGTTAGCAGAGTTATTTCGGATAAAATTCTTAACTGCAAAATGCCATCACATACAAGTTATATAATAAATAAATAAAACAGATTTGTTTAAGTAAGATTGCTGCCCTAATTAAAAAGAAAGTAGTTCTCAATATAATTTGCAAGACAATCAACATTTTGTAAGTGTTTGCCTGAATATTAGGATGATGCTTTGGGAAAGCAAAACCACCATATTTCATTTATAGAAAAAAGTGTTTGTAATAACATTGCAAGTCCTTACTTTACCAATAAAACAGCGCCATGAAAAATCATTAATTTATTTATGGGTAAAACATGACAGATCATCTATGTTAGAAGATTCGTAAGATAATACAAAATTACCTCCTGACAGCTTCTATCACAGAACCAAGAATCCAGTATGGCTCCATATGCATATTTTTCTTTCATGCATGCCTCATGATCTGTTCATAAAAGTTAAAATTATTTGGTAAACTAGACAATTTAAAGAAAAAATAACATAACTAAAAGGGTAAGTCCAACTTAACCACAAGATGGTCACTAATAACAGACAGGAAATTAATTAGAACCAAGATAATAATAAATAATACTAAAAATATTAGAAAAACAGTTCCTAGAGGTCTAATAGGAAAAAAAGGGACAAGAGAAGAAAATAATAAATACATCCTTACTTCAAAGAATTGGATTCAACTTCATTACACAAAGGAGATACAGTATGAAAACTCATAAACAAAATTACTTTTGATAAATTATGGCAATTAATTTCCCATTTTGATATATAATACTTCTGTTTCTAATCAACTCCAACATGCTTCAAAAGCAACACGTTGTCTGGAAATAGTTAAACAGTATGCCAATTGAATATTTACAATACAAACTAAAATCTACTAATGGAAAAACATAGATTAAAATCTAGGTCACATTATGATGAAATCATCCACTTCCTTAATAAATACCTTTTTGCATTGACATATCCATCAAAGGAAATAGTGAAAATATTACTTATATACTTCTAAGAAGGGTAATTACCACATTAAATTAGGTACCATATTATATTTTAACATGTACATGCCACATCAAACTATTCCAAAGTTATCTACATGTACTGAAAGCAGTTTAGGTACAAGAAAGATAATCTAGAAACGAGAAAATTACATTTATGTTCACACTGTGAACATTTAAATCCATCAGAAGTACTTGATGCCTCTTTATCATTGACGAAATCACCACATATCCAACAGGTGCAGTTTGGGCAGTACCAGCTGCCTTCAGGAAGCTCCTGAAGTTCAAATGCAAAAACAGATAATTAGTTCACAGTAAGAGGAAAACAAGCAAAAACTCCAAAATAGTCACAACTCAACACAAAATCCTGATAAGAATGAAAACCCAAAGGTTATTAAATTGATAATCTATAGCCTGAAATTATGGAAACAAATATTATCGTTCTAGAAACAAAATAAAATAAAAAGAAGACATTCAAACAATAACTGATTAATATGATAACTATTCCTCCAATGGCATCAAGACTTAAAATACAAAGCTAGCATGCGTTCTGGAGCAACACAAACAGAAGCTTGTATTCAAATCAATCACGAACAACTTCTCCCCCCAGACGTACATGATGCAAAAGTTATGCCAGCATAGCATTGAAGAGTATGGATATATAAAATAAGGAGAAGAATTCAGGAAAGAGAACCAGCATAAATATACAATACTAGCGAAAGCAAACCTGCAGAGACAAACAAGCCTGATGAAAAGTAGAGGGGCAGTTATCACAGCATATCAACTCGCCACCATCACCACAAAGTCCACATGAATCATCATTTTGATCATTTTCATCAGCTCGCACAACTTGGGTTCCCCTTTTCCTGCTTTTGTATTCAGCTGACCAGGCTTGAAGCTGGCATAAGGTGAAGGGCTGACCAGATTCCATAAAAAGATTCAAACATGGACGATTCTGTTTGAACCCACTATGAGACTTGAACTCAGAAACTGTAATTACTTTACTGCAACACTTACAAAAAATGCCATCCCTGGTAACCAGACCATCTATAAGGACAGCACCGTCCTTGGGATTCCGATACTGAATGACATCATTCAAAGATATGACACCAGCATCAATTAACCAAGACAAAACTGTTCGCACTCCTGCAGAATACCACTTTCCATCCTTAAAGTGCTTTCCCCCACTACCCAGGCTTCTTGGAAGCAACTTGCAACGGCTCTTTTGGCTTTTACCCTTCCTTTGAGCTCTTGATTTGCTGGCTTTCTTTCTAGAAAAATAACGAGCAGGGCTAGGGCTAAAATCTTTGTTTTTAAAAATAGCTGAAACCAACAAGTCATCATCTTCAATTTGGCATCTAGACGATTTCCTTTTTCCAGTTTTAAAATCATCACATTCACGATTAATCCTCATCAACTTTGAGCATTTTCTCCCAATCTGTTGCTGGCAGGAATCGAGAGGTAAGGACGTCCTGCGACTTCCTTTACATATTTTATTACCTGTAAATTCATCCTGGACCACTTTCAACTTTGACTGGGTACCATTAGCATCAATACACTGTGAATCAGCATTCTCAGTAGAAGTAAAACCAAAAAGGCCACTTTGGTATATCGAGCTTGGTTCAATTTCGGATATCTTTTTAGACTTCCTACGTATTTTTCTTTTCAAAAGATCACTTGTGCAGTTTCGTTGGTAATCTAATGATCCCTGCAGAGCACTTTCCAGCTTATCATCAACCTTGTCTCCCTGCAATTCATCTTTTTCCTCAGAATAATCCACTGATACATCTTCCATAACTTCCTTAGTTGTTTCTACATCAAGTCCGGAACTCTGTTTATTAAAGCTTGGGGAATTTGCATTGCTATCTTGGTGAGGAGATACAGCTTCAGAACCTCCATGCACATTGTTACATTTTCTGGAAGTAATAGGTTCATCACGACGAGTAGCTGACTGGATGCAAGTGCCACCAGACCCACAAACTGGTAAGGAAGTGAAATCCAGACTACTTGTTCTATTTTCAATTCTATTCCCAGCATTCACCAAGCACTGACATTCTACATTAGCTGAATCATTAGATTGGCCCATAAGCAATTTCACTTCCTCGTGACTTGTCCGTCCATAAAATCCCTCAGGAACTGCCAATCCAGCCCCGCTGACCAGAGTTGAATCACAGAGGGGAGCTGACGCATCTTCCTGAGCACAGCGATTTTTTATATTATTGCCACTAGTCAAGGCCAAAGAAGAATCAGTCTCATGGTTCGGGTCTATAACTAAACTCTGACTTGCTTTAACAATCTCTCCCTTTCTCAGACTGCCAATCTTTCTCTCAATGAACACGACACTCACAAAAGGATCTAAAAGCCTCCACCAATAAGCCAATGCAGCGTCAGGTTCTGGATGATTCATCTCTTTCTCAATATTTGCTAAAGCACCAGATAGATCTGACCAGAACTGACTGATATCGGCCCACTCCTTTGGATCATCTTCCTGCAGCAAACTGTACCTATCCGCAAACAAAAGTTCTCCACATAACCGCCAAGCTTTGGGGAACTCACGAATATATTTTCCCTTAGGTGTTTTATAAACAGACTCCATATAACTTCTACTAGGTCTTTTTCTCCTCTCAATATGCCATCCTGCAGCTTCAAGCAAGCGAGCAACATGACATTGGAGAACTGGACGAGGGTCCTTACTAGCGTCTATCTTCAAGGCAACATCGGATACATCCAAAACAGGAGCTTCGAATCCCTTGGGTTTTCCCTCAGCATGTAGAGGAGTTTCCAATTTATCCAGAACAGTGACTACTGGACTTGCAACCAGAAGCCTGGCTGAGAAGCTCTCATGCAAAACAGGTGAAGCAATAGCTTTACCTACACATACTTCCTTTCTATCATCCCCATCTGAGGTTGGCAATCTGCACTTCGGAACATCTGGGTCACCTACTATGCCCGCTTTGTCAAGTTCTGCAAGTTTCTTTAACAAATAGCAACTAGTTGTGACTCCCTGACTAGAAGATTCGACCAAACGAAACGTAACCGTATCAGAGAAAGAGTTTGTAGCTGGATCAGACGTGCCAGAAACCATTTCCTTTGGAACTACTGATGAAATGACCTTTCCTAAACCAGGTTTGGTATTAGAAAGCTCATCAACTGAAAACTTCATTCTCTTAACAGTCACATCGTCTTCATTCCTATCTAACAAAGCAGATCTGTCCAAGCAAAACGCCGGTGCAGAGGTTTCTCTAAATTCCTCGGTTGCATTATAAAACTCCTCCAAACAAGTATTTTTAGAGGATGAGTGACTCGTCACAACTGAGTTTTCACTGTTTGATGACAGTGCTCCGTCTGTGTTCTTACTTGAATTATCACATTCAAAGTTAATCACTCCAGTAACAAGACATCTCTTACTAGCGCCACCAATGTCTTGACCAAAGAAAACCTCTGTGAATATACAACGCTCAGTTTTGGATCCTTCAACCCCATCATCATGCAAATCCTCAATTTCTTTGCTGAGAAACATCTCTAACAACTGACTGCAGTTCCACTTGACCCACAGTCTTCCTTATGTTTCCTTATTTGCTCTACATATAACCACCAGTACAAAATGTGACCAACTGATCTACCATGCTGTAAATTATGCTGTTGAAATCTGGAATCTTTTCTTGACAAACTAATGCATAGGAAAGAAAAAGGCGAACCTCATCATTGCTGAAGTAGAGGTATAATTATTTAATAATTACCATAAATCCCTCAAAGCCAACAAGGAAATGCTGCGTACTTTCATTGATTAACATCTCCAACAATTGGCATCAATTCCAATTCGTTCAGTCTCTTCCTTTCTTTGCTGAATATGTATATCCAGTATCAGAAAAGGTGAGCGCTACTACATTGCTTCATTCTCAAATCACTGCATATAAAAGAATAGTGTTCCTCATCATAGCTGATGTTTTAGCATAAAACCATCCAACTATTGCTACAAAATCTGCAATAACAAGGAAAAAAGCATATTAAACTTAGAGGATGCATATCATATAATTAAATTAATTATGTGTTATTTATAGTCAACCCAACGAAGATTATCAACAACTGCACAGCAGATTAACAACAACCGCATAGCAGATTAACAACAACCAAACATCACTAAAAATGCTGCAACAATACTGCAAAAAATAACTAGCATTAAACAGGTATGGCAGAACTGAACTATAAACTTCAACTCTGGCATTATCTCAATAGCTTCTAAAAGACAAAACAGTCAAACTCCCCTTCCCCCAATTAGGACAATCACACAATTAACTCTATGCATTGTAGCAGCCAACAATGTTCTGTTCAAATTCAAATCCAATCCAAATCCATCCCACTAGGATTCGATACCATAACAAAGAAATAGATCGAGCAGTTAGTTCAAATTTAACTCTTAGCAGCTGGCCATAATCAGATCAAAGCTGGAAGCCAGTATAGGCGACCCAACTATAGGTTTGAAATCCATTTAAATTTTTTGGTAATAACGATTATTATATATTCACTGATAGCTTATATAGATAATTTCTTAAAAAGTGTGTACATCTACTACAGATATTCAAGTTTTAATGGAATTTCAGTATGTGGACGTTTTGGTTTCAAATTCCAAATTCCAAATTCCATATTCTCTCTCTCACATAGGCACACACATAAGGTTTCTATATAAAGTCTTGTTTGTCATATGTTGGACTCGATATGGATGGTTGAGATGTACGGTAGGTGAGATGCATCTCAACCATCCATATATGATCTCATCTAAGAACCTTATTTAAGGCCCATTTGAGACAAGTTTTGTGTAGGTGTGTACACTACTCCAAATAAGTTACGTAACCTAAATAACATTTTACCAAAAAAGTGCTCACATAGTTTAACTTCACTGTCTTTTCTTCTAATCAAAGTAATTGCCTAGACAAAATTGCTAAATGCATTTAATTACTATATTGTTACTAAATAAAAGAAAATTACAAGCGAACAAGATTTGCATTCACTGTGTTTTATTATTCTTAACTTTGCATCAATAACAATTGCAATCACATCAATAAATGAATAACTATAATAATAAATAAGAGGGACTCCTAGAACATAAACTATAAGATCGTACATTTACATGTTCAGACATGTTTACTAAAACTTGTTCAAGTGAAAAGAACAGCTTCCGTTAGGAGTGAAACTTATAGGCATTTGTTAACTCTGTTCTTGCCTTTGCACTCCCATCACTGAATTAATATCTAATAACAAACAAAAGGCAACCAGTAGCTTGAAATCTTTATTCTTGTATTCTGCTTTATAAATTAACTCATGTTCAGACATCCTTACTCGCACTTATCTGAAGATCAAGTCAAGAGCTGCCAATTATGGGCAGATATAGGGAATCAGTATGACTACAGTCCTGTCATGCTCTTACATAGAAGAAGAATATAAATATTTGCACTATAACATCGGATTTCAAAAATATAGATATCTCCTTAAAGAAACAAAAAATTTAGTTAAATCTATTTATGGTCCCCCTAATATAAAAATTCTAGTTTTGCCTCTGCTGAGGAAGAATGAATCGTCAACAATATTATTAATGACACAGGTTTTCATTCACAGTACACCACAATTTATATTAGAAGTACCCTTCATGCATCGATGACCACACAAGTAAATATCTGCAGTCTTGAAAAGTGGGGAGAGGAGACAGTGGTACATTCAATATTTAAATAAACATAAACAAATGGAGAAAAGAATGCAGAAATTGAATTTGACAACAAACAAGGCAATCACTGGGCTTGCCTGAAGTGTAAAAATGTCTAGACTGCTTTCTTGCAACACCACTGCCAGTATATACATGATACAGTAAAGGAATGTGCAAAATGCTTGCAAAAACTTCAAAGTTTGTAAGATAAGATGTTAAAGAGAGAAAGAGACACCGAGGGGGAGATAGAAAGAGAGACTGGGGGGAAGAGATAGAGAGACTAAGGCGAAGAGAGAAAGACTGAGAGGAAGAGACACAGAGAGAGAGAGAGACACACACACACACACACACTAAGTGAAGCAGAATGACACAAAAAGAAATGTAAAAAAAGAGAGCCATATATACATCTGTTTACATATATGCGTTCATTTCATACAAATACAGGTATATTTTTTGCTGTTGATGAGCATTCAAACAAGGGGCACACACATGCACACAGAGACCGGGAGAAGGAGAGAGTGATAGAGAGAGAGTTAGAGAGAGAGGGAGCATAAAGAAAAAGGGATTTAACTTCAGCTTCAAGCCTTCAGTACCACGAAGTGGATTAGATCCAACCAGGAAAGATGGTTTGCACCCCCTTAGTTACTGAGCAGATGCCCCACAAAAATGCAATACTCATAACTCAATTCACTATACGTCTTAGAGAATGGCATACATCTAAGGGTGATAAGATATGATAGTTACAATATATGTTTTTACGTATTGATGACTCAAGATCTGCGGTATTTCGTGTACATGATGGCTTTCCTTTTTAGGGCAACGGTAGGAGGAAGATATATGATACACACGCACTTATATATCTTGTGAGAGAGAGAGAGAGAGAGAGAGAGAGAGAGAGAGAGAGAGAACGTGACAGAATGAGTAATAGTCACAAGAATGGCACTTGGCTATCATTTAGCGTAAGTGCATGGCAACAGCCAAAATGACACCCAAAGCTTTGACTTGAAAGAAATTAATTTGGAACGTAAGATCAGTCTCCACTGGTTCCTCTTCATTTGTTGTAAAATGCAATTGGAAACAGCAACTAATAAAAACCAAAGTGGCTGAAATCTTAATTCTAATGATAATGATATTGTTTTGGAACATAGGATCAGTCATATTTATGGTCTTAAGTAATCGTCCGGTTTTAATTGCATGGTGAAGAGGACCGAGTTGAGACCATAAATACAGTGACTAATCTCACAATCCAAAACAACATTATTGTCTATTAATCTTATGTTCTACGTTGCTTTCACTAATCTTACATTCCAAAACAAAATATAAATACAATGAATGTTTTGTTTCTTATAAATAAATAAACAAAAATTATCAGTTACTAACTTGCTTTTGCCATGCATTTCACACCAAACTAAATTTCGAGGAAAATAAATAAAGAAACATTATTGTTCTAAACCATCTTGTTCATCACAAGATGGTCATTGTCAAATATCAACCTAGTCAGGAAATAAACACACACCGCAACAAAAAACAGTCCAATGGCTCTATAAAGGAGTGGAGCCTCATAAGAAAAAAGGATAAGAAACTTCAAGAAAGAAGACATGCGGATGGTTCAATTCCCCCACCCATAGTGCAACCTCTTTTTTACTTTCACATGTCGTAATTTAGCTTAGCTTTCATGAATTTAAAGTTTAAAAAAGGCCCCTCGAAAGAAAATCCATCATGAAATAAGTGCGACGTAAAAAAAAACAAGCCGGCAAAAAATGGCACCTCCTAGGCTTGCATGAAGTCTCCATTGTGACCCCAAAGTAGAATACGAAATAATGTTTTTTACTCTTGTGGTGGCATCTTCTAAATGCTAAGCGTAAATTTATCCCTCAAATCACCTAAGAACTCTCCATTGTGACCCCAAATTAGAATACTAAATAATGTTAAGATTTATATGCAAATTCCTAAAACTGGAAAAAACAGTAAATAGATATTAATCAAAATAAGACCTATGACAAATACGTTACCAGTATAAAAATTCCCAATCATACACACAATTGCACTAAGAAATAGAGAGAGGGTGTGAGAGCTTTCCTAGGCAACCACAGGATATACCACCCATGCATTCAATCCTAGGGGCAAGAAACCTCATAAACACCAAAGCAAACGAAAAATCATCAACATTTAACCACAAACCCGTTATGAGAACTGAATGAAACATCAAAAGCAAAACATCCTAAAAAAATCCCACCATTATGCAGATCAAAACCCATCAAATCAATCCTGATAAAATTCACATTTTCCGATTGAAGAAATCACATTTCAGTCCCTCCCAAACACCACGCACCACAAGAGTAAAAAAGATAAACAAACAAATCAACAAAAACCCAGAAAGGTACCTCCTCACCAATGCAATGCATTTTCTGATCAACATGCAAAGAAGATAGAAGCACAAAATTGGTGATAGGGTTTCAAAAATTGGTGAAAAATTTTAAAGGGTTTTGGCAATTAATGATAAAACAAATAAATCAGCTGAAAAACAGGCGAATTGGGAGAGGAAAAAAAAACTCACCTTGCGATACAGTTTCTAAGCAACATGCAAACAAGATCAGAGCACAAAATTGGGATTAGGGTTTTGAAATTGGTGAGGAAAGGCTAATGGGTTTGGCTGAGTGGAGATTCTGGAGAAGATAAAGAGGTGGAGCAGAAAAGGGCATTTGCTTTGGGCCTCATCACTTAAACCAAAACTCCAGCAGAATGAGGGCTTTTGAGAACCCGGAAAGTGCTCCCATGTACAACAGATGGCATGTACTTTCTTCTCTCTCTTTACTCTATACCATTTCCCATGTGAGTGTATGTCATCTGATTTGTAACCTCCACCCTCTCTCTCTCTCCAAAGCCACTATGCTTTGTCCCTTTCCTTTTTTTGAACCTCGCATAAACCCCCCAAATTGGGGTTTATAATATTGTCACGCTCATAATGATTATGGATATGTTATTGATTTAGTTGCCTAATCTGTTTTTACAATTTTGGTATGCTTCTTGGTGATTAAAAGAGGGGGTTCTTACTTTCTTGTAGCCGGAATTGTAGACTATCATGTTATGGTTGTTGACATTAAAGATTGCTTTGTGCTGCATCTGCTCATGTGGGTTTTAGACAGTTTTTCTCCTCGTTATGGCTGTCAACATTTGAGATTGTATGTGCTGCAGCTGCTCAAATAACAAGAAAAACTGTTAAATTCTCGACAGATATAATAATTTGCAAATCACATATATTCCGTCAATTAATGTTTTTGCATATGTGACCAGTATAGGGTGACTGTTTACTACTGACACACGTCTATGCAAAATCGTAAGATCATGTATGGGACTGATGTTAATGCTAAGAAAGCAAGGAAGTTTACGACCTGATGACAGGGAAACCGGCATCAAATGTAATTACCGGTCCTAAGGTAGCAAAATTCCTTGTTAGATAAGTTATAACGCATAGAAAATGCGTAATAATCTTATAGCACTATCTCACAGAGAGATTCGATGAGATAGACATGTATGTAGATGTAGGTTACCTTAACTTGGATAGAAAGACCCTATAAAACTTCACTACTCGAAATTTACAACTCATCTTATTCTCACTCTTTTATTACTTTTCCTCTTTACGGTTGGTTTAATGTTGCTTTGAGCTGAACTTAGGGTCATTATTAGACTGCAACTACCTATGTGCTTTGTGTCAAAGATTTTTGTGTACTTTGAAGAACTAGTTATTAGATTATTAGATAGATATATGGGTGGATTGAAAACATTAGTGTAGCTGTGGAAGAGACACAAGAATGGAAACTTTGACTTCGTAGATTTGTGGGCAATAACGTCAATGCATTTATATATAGTTTACATAGTGCGCCAATCTTCAAAACAAGCAAGAAGCAAAGCGCCGTGGGAACATGCACTTGATTTGGTTTTCTTTCATAATTGCTATACAAGGAGTGCTCGTTCTCAAACAAACGAGACATGTTTGTGCTTTTAGATCCATGTACTTATTTACTAAATTTGGGTCTAGTTGTTGGAATTCTATCTAGTAATTTTGGGTATCATCCAATAGGGGTTTGTTTGTATTCAATGCAAAATTCATACAATGATTGGCATTGCATGCGTGGCCAAGCTACATCTCAAGCACGCCTTCGACAAGGAGAGCGTGGGACGTAGACTCGTGAAGCTCGAGCAATGTGTGACGTAGACTCATGAAGCTCGAGCTTTGGACTATATAACGCACTTCACAATAAGAGTTTGACTCTCATCCTTGTAATTAATAACCTAATACAATCATGACATCAATAATGGAGGGAAATTTTATGTACTTCTTATTGGGCTTTTTGGGCCTAGAAGACAAACTGGTCTATATTCATAAGAGTAAAGATTGGGCTTCTGGGTTGGCCCACAAAAGAGACAGCAAAGCAAAGACTGAAAATCCTCCATTATCCAACAGCTTCACATAACCCGGAAGCCATTGAGACATTCTAGAAGCACCGCAAAACCTCCGGAGGCCAAATGGCACTCTGTCACTTGACCCCTCCACGCTCATTTCTCTTGGGCTCGTCTCCTTCTTATTATATATCCAGTCTCAAATTGAAACCCACAGTCCCTTCTGTCAAAAAGCGCTTCTTCTCCTTCTCAATCTCAGCAGCAATGGCTTCTGCTTCTCCTGCTAAGAAGGTAACGACTACAACAGCTGAACTTCGGCTCTTTTTCTGATTTTGACAATTTTTTGTTTGTGTTTGTAAGAGTGAGATTGACTGTGAAAGTGGAAGCAGGTTTTGGTTCCGATTGCCAATGGCACGGAGCCGATGGAGGCGGTGATCACCATCGACGTTCTGCGTCGAGCTGGAGCCGATGTTACTGTGGCTTCTGTGGAAAAGCAGCTTCGCGTTGAAGCCTGCCATGGCGTTAAGATCATCGCTGATGTTTTGATTTCCGATTGTAGCAAAGGCGTCTTCGATCTCATCACTTTACCCGTACATACTCTCTTCTATCTCTCTCTCTGCAAAATTTCAAAGTTCTAATGCACAAACACTAACACATACATATATATATAGTGTTTGTGCATTAGAACTTTGAAATTTTGCAGCTTGTTTTGTTGCTGACAAAAATATAAATGAAAAGGAAAATTTGTGCTAATATTACTTCTCCACATTTCCAACAACTTGAATTTTTGAGTGTCTTTGTTTCCGTTTACCTTGTGATGGACCTGGAGAGACTGAGAGTTATGCTTACTTAAAGCAGCTGTATTTAGTTTTTAGAGTGTAGGCTTTTTGGTTGCTCATGCCCAAATGACCATAGGTATATACATAAGATTACATATGGTACCAAATGACACTATTTTATTTCCAAGCAATATCCCAATGCACCGCCAACTGCCTATTAAAGGGATGTTTTCATGTAACTTTGATGTCATCCATAACATATCAGGGTTGGAGGAACTCTTTTTATCTTCGTTTGCTTGTATTATTCCCTCTCTTCAGCTTCTCTGATTGTGATTTATTGGTTGATTATTGCAATGTGCCGACTCCTTTTTAGTTTAGTTTCAATTGAATTTGAATTATCTGTTTTTTTTTTTGGGTGCTACAGGGGGGCATGCCAGGTGCTGCCAATCTTAAGAATAGTGAGGTTCTGGAAAGCCTGGTGAAGAAGCAGGCCGCAGATGGGAAGCTCTATGCCGCGATCTGTGCTTCACCTGCAGTGGCATTTGGGTCATGGGGTGTGTTGAAGGGACTGAAAGTAAGATCTCTAAGCACCTTTCAATATTTCATTATTTGTTTTGCATAATAAAATTATGATTAGTGTTTCTTATGGTTCCTGAAATGACTAAATCTGAACTTGTGGGCTGTATTGGTTTTTGACAGGCAACTTGCTATCCATCATTTATGGATCAGTTAGCATCTAGCGCAACTACTGTTGAAGCAAGAGTGCAGGTGGATGGCAAAGCTGTGACTAGTCGTGGACCTGGTACTACCATGGAGTTTGCTGTTGTGCTGGTTGAACAATTGTATGGGAAAGAAAAAGCTGATGAAGTATCTGGGCCACTGGTATATACTTCTCAATATCCTTCTTTTTGGCTGGTTGTCATTCTACTGGTGGCTTTATTGTCAAGTGATTTCAAAGCTGTTCATTGTCTGGAAAAATGAAAATAAATATGATCTGCTATGATCTGGCTTTCACCTGTTACCTTTAATTCAAGGCTTGTGATGCGCGTGTAACTGCATTTTTGTACTCAGGTAATGCGTTCCAACCATGGGGATGAATATATCATAACTGAGCTAAACCCAGTTGAGTGGACTCCCAATGATTCCCCAAAGGTAAACATTTGATTTTATTGTATATTTCTTATTGGGGCATTGCCTTACTGTTACTTTAATTTTTTGGGCTTGTGTTGGTTCATTTTTTAGCGAAGGACAATATTTGAAAACAATATTGTGTGTGGATTACTTTGTCTACTTGTGTTAGGCAGCTTTAAGTAGCTTTAGCGCAAGTTGCATTCAGATGGGGGAAGCCCAAAAAAGGGGAAAAAAGAAGTAGCTATACTGGAGTGCTCTACTTGGTACTAGTGATATACACATGCAAATTTGCCTAGGATTATTTCAGGTTTCCACAAGTTACCTTTGAATTTAGAGTGGTGGTAAAAATTTCACAAATGAGCAACGATAATTTGTGACATGACAGTAAGAATTATTGACTTGATTTAAGGTGCTATATAATGTAGTTTATAAACTCTTTCGCGTCTGTTATTTCTTTAGATTCTTGTACCTATTGCAAATGGCACAGAGGAAATGGAAGCTACTATGATCATTGATATTCTACGACGAGCGAAAGCAAATGTTGTGGTGGCCTCTGTAGAGGATCAACTAGAAATTCTTGCTTCTCGCAAAGTTAAACTGGAGGCAGATGTGCTCCTTGATGAGGCTGCCAAACTTTCATATGACCTAATTGTTTTGCCTGTAAGTCGGGTTTCAATCCAGCTCGCTGCTGTTTAGCTATTACTATTTACCAATTCATCAGCCTAACCGTATTCTTTGTTTTTTTTCTTTCAGGGTGGACTTGGTGGTGCCCAAGCATTTGCAAAATCAGAAAAGCTCGTGAATATGTTAAAAAAACAGAGGGATTCACAAAGACCTTATGGAGCGATCTGTGCCTCCCCAGCTCTAGTTTTGGAACCCCATGGCTTACTCAAGGTATGCCCTATAAAATGTTTTGAGATCTTTCTTTTCTCCTTAAATGGACCACTCCCCTGACTTTGAGACCTTCATTAATGTTGCACAACCATGACAATCGCATTTTCAATTGTGTGCAACTCCATTAACACTGCCCAATTCTTACTGCAGCTCGTTGGGTTCTGGAGTGTACTAACTGGAACTACTTTATAGTCAATTCACTGAACCATTCTGCTTCTTGTATTGTATAAACCCATAACAACAACTTATTTCTTTCCAAACCTTATATTTCTCTATCTATGCTGTTTGAATTTCATGTTATTGACCAATGAGTTGTTAGTCCAGTGGTTGGGACTCTAGTTGGGCCCTGGCATGTGGTCAGGGGTTCGACTCCCATCAAGGTACCTATCTAGCAATTTGCTAGTGTTTCCTGCTCCCAAAAATTGTAGGGTTCGGCGGTGGGCCCCAGTTTGGAAGCTGAGTCACCAAAGTCGACAAAGTGGAGTTCTTGGTTTCCAAAAAAATAAAAATAAAAAATAAAAAATAAATCATTTTATTGACAGTGTCTGCATTTTGAAACATTTTGAAATAACTACTTTTATGTTCTTCCCCTTTAGTGTTTGTTATTGTTAATTGTTGTTGCATCCAGTTGTGAATTTTGTTTTCCTTTGATTCAGGGCAAAAAGGCCACTGCGTTCCGTCGACAAAGTGGAGTTCTTGGTTTCCAAAAAAATAAAATCATGTTATTGACAGTGTCTGCATTTTGAAACATTTTGAAATAACTACTTTTATGCTCTTCCCCTTTAGTGTTTGTTATTGTTAATTGTTGTTGCATCCAGTTGTGAATTTTGTTTTCCTTTGATTCAGGGCAAAAAGGCCACTGCGTTCCCCGCAATGTGCGACAAGCTGTCAGATAAAAGTGAAATCGAGAACAGGGTAGTGGTTGATGGCAACCTCATCACCAGCAGAGGACCAGGAACTTCCATTGAGTTTGCTCTAGGAATTGTTGAGAAGTTTTTCGGGCGCAAGAAAGCAATAGAGCTTGCTAAGGTAATGCTTTTTGTTCACCCTTAGAGTTTTTCGTTAGCGTATAATGTGTACGTCCTTACTTTTGGGACACTACTAGCGAAAGCAGAAAGCTTGAGTCATATCTGAGTATGAATCCTTTGTGAGGTTATGTTCAAGATTTTGTATATAAATAAATGTGTAAACGACTGAATTATGATAAAGCTATGGTTAGTATTTCTAATTTCACTGTCTATAAAAGAGTTTACTTTTCATATTATTATTTTTCTTTTTAAACAAAAAGTACAGCTAACCTTAGCCAAAGTTTGATACCTAAACCTCTGTCTCTCGAGTTGTACTTGAAACCCTTCTTGGTACTTGACCAAAAAAAAAGAAACCCTTCTTGGTACTACAATTCGGCTGAAACAGCACTTCTTAGCATACAGCCCAGACGTTAATGGTGTTTTGGGGCCTTAGGCAGTAGAGCAACGTCTTTAGCAGTAGGATTATATATATATTTCTTTTATTTTTTATATTTACTTGAACTATTTGGCATTGGAATTACTAAGAAAGTGTCGGCTAAGTGCCAATCTCCCCAAAAATACAAATTAAAAATTCAAGAACTTGATGTATTGAGTTGAAATTATCAAAGAAAGTGGCTGCTAGCTAAGTGCTCATCTCCTCAATAGTTAAAGAATGAAAAACAAAGTGTTTGCATTCCTTTGAAAGGAATGTACAATAGTTGAGGAATGTTCTGCAATGGGATAACTCGACATATCTCATTAATTGGTTTAATTAAGGGAGCTGATTTTCTCACTCATCTTTCGCTTATTCACACTCTCTTTTGTTTTTCGTTTTTAGTACTTTTGTAATTACAGTGTAACGAAAAGGGAGTGGAAAAATCACCACCCTTAATTATCCGTAATCCGTTTAACAATAAAACATGTCAAGTCACTGAGTGGAAAAATCACCACCCTAAATTGATTCATTGAATGTTGAAAATTCAAACGTGTTTGGTACAGAAAATTCATTTCTATATTAACGATGCCCAAAAAAAAAAAATTCTGTCAAAGGAAACGATTTCATTACCAAATTATATCGACTGTTGCAACACGTGGGAAGATCTTTTCGTTGACTCTTTTCCAGGTTTATGCGATATTTTCTCAGTCCGAGTTCATGCATATGTGAAGTTTTTTTTTTCTTCTTCTTTTGGTTGTAAAATATCACCAATAATGTAGTTGTTTACTTGTGACCATTAGGTAATATTTTATTAGTTAATTTCTTTAAAATTGGGGAATTTAAGGGTAGCATCCAAGAAACTTTTAACTCTATATAAAAAAATAGTCTAGAGAAAAAGAAAAGACATACTCAAAATTATCTCAAAATTTTTTCCTTTAAAATTTTGACAAATAGATGAAGACTTTTGTTTTATAAAGTTAAGCACGTGATTGACCAAAAAAGAGTTTAGCTCATGTGAGCGACTTTTCAAATTAATATATTGATCATTAATGTATGCGCGATTCATATTTCATCAACAATCAGAGATTTCTTACGCACTCTCTTACGTACTTGCCTTCACAAAACCTTTTTGTAAGAGTAACACAAAATTTTCACTCTTTCATTCATGTGGAGGTAGAAGTTTCTTCTTTTTGCTACAAAATAATTGGGAGGGATCAAATATAAAACACATAATATTATATATCAACTGATCTAAACCAAGGCCACACACATCCGCCCACGGGTTTAGTAATAGATTAGATGCTGGCCTTCACATTTGACCATGTTCCAATTATTTAATCGTAGTAAGACTATTCACAATGGTTGTTCAATAATTCAATGCAATAGTTCAATATTTTTGCATCTATTGAATTGAACTACAGTTTTACTTGTAATTGTACAGTTCAATAGCTTCAAATCAATTTACGTACTCAAATAAAATAAAATAGATCTTTAAAAAGAGACAAATTTTGAATATTATTTGAAAAAAAAATTAATTGCTGTATTTTTTGAAAACATCTTGCTTCTGCATGCAAGTCATTGGTCGCGGGGCCCTCAATATAGAATTCTTGCACTTGACCCCTCCACGCTCATTTCTCTTGGGCTCATCTCCTTCTTGCTATATATCCAAACTCAAACCCACAATCCCTTCTCTCAAAAAGCTCCTCTTCTCCTTCTCCATCTCAGCAGCAATGGCTTCTGCTTCTCCTGCTAAGAAGGTAACGACCACCACTGTTCAGCTCTTTTTCTGATTTCGACTATTTTGTTTGTTTTTGTGTGTCTGTTTGTAAGAGTGAGATTGAGTGTGAAAGTGGAAGCAGGTTTTGGTTCCGATTGCGAATGCCACAGAGCGGATTGAGGCGGTGACCATCATCGATGTTCTGCGTAGAGCTGGAGCAGATGTTACTGTGGCTTCTGTGGAGAAGCAGCTTCGCGTTGAAGCCTGCAATGGCGTGATCATCGCTGATGTTTTGATTTCCGATTGTAGCAAAAGCGTCTTCGATCTCATC